ATATATATATATATATATATATACACACACACACACACACACACACACTTATTTATTTATTTATTTTTTCCATAATTTTCAGAAAAGTCCACTTTCATCTCTGCAATAAGTAGGCGGTATGACATTTTGTTTTTTCTACTGTGTCTCACTCATTTGGTTGAAGTCACTGGAGCGAAAAATGCGTTACGTCTATCAATTGAAAAGGCTAAATACACTTGCAGCCGATCCCTTGCTGACTACGGTTCAGTGCTGAGGACAGTGATGACAATAACGCCGCATGAAAAAGTTAACAGTGTGGAAAGCCCGCATGGAAAAGTTTCAGTGCCTTCTGAAAATGACGGTCGAAGGTGTCAAAGCTCATCTGGACACAGGAAAACACAAAGATTATGTACGAGGAGAGAATTCATATGCAAAGTTGACAGAAGAGTTCTTTGTTAGTCCCGGAAACAAAGAATAGAGAAAAAATACAATTATGAGAAAGAATGCTAAAGACTGAAGTGCCATTTTTTTCAGTGTTCAATTAAAACCCTTGTGCTGCAATTTCTACGATGTTTGTAACACATGGGTTACCCCATATGTTACAATTTCTACAATTTTTGTAGATTTTTGCGTATTGTCATCTTTAAATCAAAGACACAGCATAAAAAGTGTGTGATATGAAATATTCCAATTCATGTTTTATTCATATAGATTTATATTTATGTTTTGGTCATAGCACAATACCGCTTTTATTGTCCATAGAGGGCAAAAATACAAAGAAAAAAATAAGAACTATATGTGTATGTATAGCACTGATGCCACTGAACATGTCGAGTGGTTGAAAGTGAAATAAATATTCAGGAATAATACTTTTACAATTTTCGTAAAATTGTATGTTGCGTTATATAAACTTATTTAGATCGACTGCAGCACATGGGTTATTATCCTTGTGAGGCTACTGTTTGATTATTTACATGATTACAGTGAAAAGAGGAATGCAATATAAATATTTTGTTGAAGCTTGATTTTATTTAAAACCCCATTATTTATTTGTCAAGTAAGACTTCAAATGAGGGCGACCCGGTGTTCGACTGGTTAGCGCGTCCGCCTCACGGTGCAGAGGTGCAGGGTGCGATTCCAGGTCGCGGCCTTCCTGTGTGGCGTTTGCATGTTCTCCCCATGCCTGCGTGGGGTTTCTCCAGGTTCTCCAGTTTCCTCCCACATTCCAAAAACATGCATGACAGGTTAACGGGACAATCTAAATTCGCCCAAGATTGGATTGTTTGGGTTGAATGGTTGTTCATCTGTGTGTGCCTTGCGATTGGCTAGTAACCAGTTCAGGGTTTCTTCTGTCTACTGCCCGAGAACAGCTGGGATTGGCTCCAGCATGCCCTGCGACCCTTGTGAGGATAAATAGATGGATGGACTTCAAAATAGAGCTATGACAGTATTATGCTTTTTGTTTTATTTTCTACCCATAAATAGGAGGCATAAATTAGGGCTGCACAATATACTGAAAACAAATATCATTGTGAAATACTGTAGACATGCAATAAATTCAGATGGAATAGATTGCTTTAATCTAACTTTGACAAGTCCGGTGCAACCTTAAATGCGCATCCTCACCCAATAAGAGAACAACATCGACAGCCATAAAATACATCCTTGGTGCTATAATTTGTGATACACTTAATTCCTTTCCACGTGCTCTGAGGGTCGTTGGAAGCGAAGTGACCTTGCTTTTTCTGAGCTGAGGAGTATATAGCCCTCTGATTCCCATAGCCAGCTCTCCGCTTACTGCCCTGCAAAATGCTGATTATTCGTGTGCTCTGAAGGTAACATCCCTAACCTTCAGCAGTGCCCTCACCTCTGCATTCAGCCAGGTTCTTCTGGTTCAGGTAGATATCGATGGTCTTGGTGGTGGAGACGTCAGCACATTTTGAGTTGGTGCCCAGGATGGATGAAGTATATTCCTGCAGGGGCCGCTTTTTCTTCTCAAATAGCTGCTTCCCTGAAGATCTGCCAGTTTGTGCCATGAAAACTAGGGCTGAAACAGGTCCTTGAGTAATTCGAGTACCTAGTTTCTAAAACATGCCTGAGGCATTTTGTTTCTGCCCCAGGTAACCATATATTTATTTACGGTACATATTTATTGACTGTACACAGTCAAGCCAACTGCATTCAGGGAAGCTCCTTTTATACCTAATCATAGCAGCCACCTGTTCAAAGTATTCTGTTCACCAGTGGGATGTTCCAAACAGGTGTATGATGAGCATTCCTCAACTTTCTTCTTTTTTGCCACCCTTCCCATTTTGGGGGGAAACATGTTGCAGTCATAAAAATGCCAAGTTCATGATTATTTACTATAAAAAACCCCCCAATAAAATTGATCAGTTTTAACATGAATATCTTCTCTTTGTAGTGTCTTCAGGTTGAATATTATTTGCAAATCGTATTCTGTTTTTATTTGTTTAATCCCGTGTCCCACTTCCATTGGATTTGGGTTTGTATGTATATATGTAGGCGGCCCGGTGTCGCTGTGCTGTGAAGATTTTCCACACATACGCTGTCCCCACGACAAAGTCAAGTAGCTAGAAAAGGTGACTTTGACAACAATATTGGAATATAGCTGGTGATTGATCAATGGCTTCACCAACGTTATAAGCTCCATTTACAACACTGCAAAATGGTCTGGCACTCTTGAATCCTGCCTTTTAAAACACAGGCCAAATAGGTTTTACAGACGAACTTGAGTTCTTTAATATTGTGTCTGTTCATGATTGCAGGACTTGGTTGGTGAGGTGGAGGTGATCCCTTCAATCACCATGGACAACAATGTGATTCATAATAATGAAGGTTATGGGGTGATTCTTGTGAAACCCACTCCGACTCAAGACAGGAACATTCATCTTGACAAAGGTGTTCTCAAAGGTAAAGGGTTCGAAACACTCATTATTGTCATCTTTTTTTTTTTTTTTTTTTTTTAACTGTCTACAGCATATACCAGGGGTGCCAAACTCATTTTTGTTGCAGGCCACATTGTAGTTACGGTTTTCCAAAGAGGTCGTTATGACTGTGAACCCATATAAATGTATGAGCCCCCAATTTGATGACAATTTGCCCTTTTGGTATTTTAGCAATAAGCATGAATTCTGCACACATTTGCCTTTGTGGGCCACATAAAGTTATGTGGTGGACCTGGATCTGGCCCCTCGACCTTGAATTTGACACCTGTGGTTTATAGTATTACAATTGTGTGCCAGAATCAAGCTGCTGTTTCTTCTAGATGAGCTCGCAAATGATGTTGAAAAGATGACCGGAGACGGACTGCAGAAGGATGTGGCTGGAGAGCCCGTCACCACGCCAAGCGAGACAGCAAGCAATTTAGACGATGTTTCGCCCAAGTTGACCGAGAATACACACCAAGACCGTAACGCGAACTCTGCAAGGAACTGGCAGTTTTGCCGTCAGCCAAGCGTCAACAAGCACACATCCTGTACGCTTGCTATGCAAGACTTGATTGCCCACAAGATATTTGTTTCAATTGAGGGAAACCAGTTCAAGCGCAATGGCAGGGGTGACTTTGGCACTTTTTTATACTAAGAAAGGCGAATAGATGACTACTGTGTTAACACACTCTGAGCTACCAATGTGTTTAATACTTTCATGCACTTTTTTTTTTAATATATGGCTGGCAATTGATAAACAGTCCAGAGTGAATGCCCTTTCCTCTTGCCCCCAAGTCAGATGGGATATTCTCTAGTTCATCTGAAAAGTAAAGCTGAAGAGGACTTTTCTGAACTATTGTAGAAATCCGATCTCTCGCAAGGTAATGTACATCAGGGGTACCCAAGACTGGTCCTCGAGAGCCCCTATTCAGCCTGTTTTAGATGTCTCCCTTCTTCAACACACTTGATCCTAATCCTGTGAATTAGGTGTGGCTGGATCGGGCCCCTCGAGGACTGGATTTGGGCTCCCGGGTGCACGTAATGCAAATGTTACATTTAATCAAAAATAAAAATTTACACCTATTTTTTTTTTCTTTTGACTGTTGACCAATGTAATCAGCAGAATACAGTTACATGCATAACTATTTTGACAAAAAACATGCTCTGCTACAGAAATTAAGACTTTTATGTGAAGTTCCACCATTTTGATGGTCGCATCAAATTTTGGGGCAATTGACATAATTCAAAATATATATACCAAATTTTAATACTTGAAAATCAACCAATGGCAGCAATGTAAAAGGAAAAATAGGCTTCTGAGGGCAATAAACACAGCTTGTAAACTAATTTGGCCTCTATAATACAAATATCTTGTCCTCTCTATTGTCATGTTTCTTTCCACACTGCTGAGCAAATACTGTCAAGGTCATATAAATGGAGAACGTGAGCTTTTATGTACTGTATTCACCTGGGCTCTGAAAATCAAATGTCAATCTTTTAATTTTTTTTTTTTTAATCTGTCATTCACAAAATGACTCGTTATTTAGTAGGTTTGATGAATACTGAACACTTGTTTGTTATTCTTGTACAGTGTTTGTTGTGGGTTTTAGCTTTGTGCATCGATCCTGTCTCGATGATCACAAAAAATAAAAGGCATACTTCCACAAGGGGACATTTAGTACATTTTGGAGGGTCGTTTGTATGTTGTTTCTGATCTATTCCTATCTAGAAATATTTTCCTTTGAAAAGTAATTAAATTCACCAAATTCGGTGCAAAATTGTATGTCACTTAACTCTGGTCTCTTGATATCTTAAATTAAATATTGAGCGGGACAACAGTTTGTCGTACATTTTTCAATTACATTTGAAAAATCAAACTCAATTTTTTTCCAACAATCATGTTTCTATCATATGCTATTAATAATTCATTTATGTGAAGACATTGATCATGTTGATTTCTCACATTCATTAGGAAACATGAATACAGTATCAATGATGCAAAATTATGTCGATAAACCTCCACCAGTGATTGTTTTGAAATGATCACTGAAAAAACATTCCAAGAAAATTGCAATATCAGGCTCGTGGGCTACCCATGTGGTCCTTGGAGGAAATTGGTGCCCACAGGCGGCCACGTTGGTGATCCCGGTTGTAGGATTAGGTCCATACTAAAAATAGACGAAATCTTAATCAGAGATGGCTTCATGTGCCCCTAAATGTATTTTTGATGCTGATATAAAACGTCTTCCTTTTTCCTCACACATCGTATGTGATTTATTTTCATTTTTGTTTTTATGTTTGATCTTTACAATCTCCTGCAAAACAGATTTCCCCCTGTGCTTACTATTTATAGCCATCATGTTTCAGAAACCACTTGTTGCTCAACTTAAATTCATAAGCATCACTTCATATATTACTGTATAACATACAGTAGGTCATTTTTATTTAATCTGGAGATGCTAGAGAAAAAAAAACGATGGCAGATTCACAAATGACAAAAATTAATCTTGCATCTCTGATGAAAAACATTTTGTAAAAAAATGTTGACCAGTGTTATGTAATACATTGGCCAATGTCAGAAACAAGAGCATTCATATGTGCTGGATATACGCTGTACATGATTACCATTCTTCTAATTCCCAAAATATGATTAAAGACAAATCAGCAGAAACACCTTGGCAATATCAGTTACCGTACTCATGTTTACCAGCTCTTGTAAAAGTTGTTTCGGCAGCTACAGGGTATTCCCTTGAGCGGGGGAAAAGGGTAGCGGGGTAATCAGAGCCAAGTCGTCAGTCCTCAGCCAAATTGGATGAGGTGAAAAATCTGGTGGATTGGTGCAAGTGTCAACTGGACGAAGAAGATCGCTGTTGACTTGAAATTTCAGCCGAGCCACATGTCACCAAGGAGTCCAGATCAGCAGTGAACTATCTTGGTCCCTCCCTGCACACAATTAAGTGATGGTGCGCTGAAGCTCCTTGAAGCATTTAGGCTTGCCATGCAATTGGTGTGACTCATATGTGTCGAGGCTTCAAAACGTAGTTCAATCCCCTCTGGCACCACCTAGTGGACATAATCGCATGCAAGTGAGAGAATTTTCTTGTGCAAAGTTTTGATTAAGATTACCCTCATAAATGATGACATGGAAAGGGTGGAGGAAAATGCGGTGAGTCTGTATTGTCGTGGATAAATAAAAATGTACTCATACAAAAAGTTTTCTCGTATTCATTTTTATTCAAAATAGACAGTTTTTCCAACTGAACTTCACGATCCGCTCCCTGAACCGGTCACGTGGTACAGCCGGTTTCGAGGCTTCGACTGTCATCAACCACGTCGTGTGAGCAAAGTGATTTTTAATAAATGTCTTGGTCATCGGGCCTGGGTGTGAACAGTGAAATTGAACTGCTTTCCAAAAACGGTGATAAATTACAGTTAACTCCCGATGTAAACTCGTCCATTAGAAATGTTGTATTTAATTGGGTTGTGTTGGGAGAAAAAGGAATTAGCCCAATGATCCAAAAATATAAATATAAAATACAGTAAGTGTCACAAATGTCAGTGCCCTCCTCATACCTCCAAAATTGTCACTTTTCATAAGACCCCAAAAACGGCATGTTTGTACAACCATTCACATTAAAGTACATCATTAAAGCAAGCAAGCCATTTTCAAAACTTAATATCAATAATTCGTAAAAAAAAAAAAAAAACCTGCGGTACTGAACAATCGTTTAGATTTTGGGGGGGAAAAATTGTGATATACATGAATGAGGTTTCGGAGAGCGGACTGCAAAAAATAAACACATCAGGAAGGGGGGAATACGTTCAGAGCATTGTACATGTGGGAACTTCGCAGCAAACAAATTGAATTGTAGCCTTTGGGTACAAGGTGAAACATCAACAACCAAGAGCAGTCCAGTCGCCTAAATCAACATTTGCAGATTACAATGCCCTTGATGACTGACATTTTATACGGACAAAATAAACAAAACTTTATCAATGTCATTTTTTTAATCAAAAAGCTTCAGTGACATTTTGGCAGAGCTTCAAAATGCTCATCACTGCTCCTCGTCAGACTCTTGGCACGTTTTCAGGTGGCACTCCTGGACCTCCAGTTCCTCCTCACTCACCATTGCCGGGTCGATGGCAGCATACCGCGTTCCGTGGAACTGCCGCAAATGAATCTATTGATCGAGGAATAAGGGGCAGTAATGATTAGTATCAAAATAATGAACATGTACGTTTCCTGACCACAACGACCAGTGACGTAATATTGCCATGTCATCATTCATTTACTGGATGTGGAGGGCTGACAATGTGGGTTTGGGAAACAATCGGAGGTAAAATCCTGTTCACAAATACACTAACTTACTGGGCCACTCCGTTACTTCTTCATCTGACCAAATTTCTAGAAACAGAAGATTGGCTGTGCACTAAGTGGGAAAGGATGACTCCAAACTTCAAACCAATCAAATACATGTTGCAATCGGGAGCCAATAGTTATTTTCCTGACATTTTCGCTCTGAGGGCAGTCCTAATTTTGTTTGGCACCCCTGTTTACAGCTTGGGACTTTTACATTCAAATGACACCCACATAGCAGTTCGGTTTCCAAATGACAGGCAGTCACACCAACATGACAATCAAGTCTTGACAAGGCTCCCTTACACGCCGCCATACCTGGATGTAGAGGTTCACATCGGCACTTCGGCAAAGGTAAGGGAAGTTTCCGCCAGTTTTCAGATGAGCTCGTTTGGCATTTGGAAACAATTTATACATCTCTTCTTTTGCTTCTAAAGACAACGCACTCTGATCAAAAACCTAAGTGGTGTAAAAACAAACACCGTGGCTTGTCAGTCAGAATGAATATGGATTGTCCAGTATTTCAAATTCACATGCATTCCCACTTACATCAATAAGAGTCACAGCAACATCCTTGATTTTGTGTGGCTCCACGTAAGAGTTCTGGCAGTTTAGCGTTAACCTGGATGCCAGCTCTCTCTGGTTTAGGCTCTCCAGCTACAGCACATAAAATACGCATTACTTTCATTGAGGACCAGCGAAGCCCATAGAGCCTCCCTTACCCTGTCAACCATGAAGTCGATCGCGCCAGCCATTTCTGGGTCGACGGGTCCTTTTGCAAAGTTCCCTAGAACAATCTTCTTCAACATGAAAGCTGGAATCAACCAAAAACTAAGCAAAAACAATCCAATTAATTTGTTTTAAGGGCATACTCGCACCGGGACATTTGAGCCGTGCCGGATTTGGCCGAGATTCCGCCTCCCTTTCGAGTTCACCCGTCACACTGCTGTTTAAGCTTTTGCCCATTGGCAAGGCAAGTGATTGTGCTAGTCATGGAACCTATGCACTGTGCAGGCGCATGGCCCTGTGTCACCAGGCTTGGCATTATGTACGGTGTATCAAATCTATAATCCATAATTACCGTATTGGCCCGAATATAAGACGGTGTTTTTTGCATTGAAATAAGACTGAAAAAGTGGGGGTCGTCTTATATTCGGGGTCTAGACATTATACCCATTCATGACGCTAGATGGCGCCAGATATCATTGAAGCGAATGCTGAACTTGACTTCCCAGGCCAAAGTGAACCCTGCCACGAAGAATAAAAATAAAAATCGCGGTAGCATGAAGAAGAAAAATAAAAAATAGCGGTAAGAAGGAAAAGAGAAAAAAATAATAGAAGAGATAACAGAAAATGGAGAAACGTAGTGACAATCTGGAGAAAGGTGGGTCGATGACTGGCCAGGTTAACCGGCAGCTGAGAAGTTAAGATGTAATTTACATTTCAAAAACCAGAAGCCATTCATTTACGAAGTTGCACTTAAGATTTGAATAAGGTAAAATAACATGCTCTTTCTCTCAAATATATTGTTATAATCATTTGTTTCAGTTGTACTGTAATTATTTTCTGTATAAAAATTTATTTGGTGTTCAAAAAGTTTTTTTTCAAACTTGAGTCTTGAAAAAGAGGGGGTCGTCTTATAATCAGGGCCATCTTATATTTGGGCCAATACGGATTCCCACACACCAAGCCTACTCTGCATAATATGCGGCGATGGTGAGTCGTATTTTTCATGCACTTTGTATTTGCGGTGTATCTTATTTTGAAGGCACGTTTAAACATTACCATAGCGACCAGAGATTGTTGCGGCGAGATAGGACGTTCCTTGTGTCGTGATTTGTGTTTATTATGTTTAGAAAATACCACAGTTTTCATGCAGGTCATATCAAATTATTTTGTTATATTTATCCGGTCGCTGAAAATATTGTCTGATATTAAGCTGGTCCGTGGGGCAAAAAAGGTTGGGGACCGCTGATCTAGGGCTCAATCATTGCACGGCTTGCCCAGTGCGAGTACGCCCTTAATCACATGTTAAAGTCTCAAACAGCAAGAAATATTGAGGAAAAACCTGTTCGCTGTCCATGTCTGGTTAAAGATGGAAGTATCGCTGAATGAATTACACAGTATCAAAGAGTGCACCCTGGGGGACTTGCATGAGAACTCTGCAAACTTCTGGGCCAGGAAGCCACCCAAGGATGCACCGAAAAGATGAACCTTGATCAAGTTGAGACAGAATTATCATTAGATTAAAAAAAAAAAAAAAGTGCACATGAGGGAGATAAAAAACAAAATACAAATGGTATACATCATGCTATGTTTTTATTTACTTTTCACTATAACATAAGCACAGTTTTACAATTTGTGAACTTTGTCAGATTTACTGAAATCACGGCTGTAGTTTGTGATTGGATTATTGGGGGTTTGTCAACTCACGAATAACGCGAGAATTTAGCTGGCAGGCACTCTATGAAATGCAAAAGTATTCGCATACACAAGCAATTAAAAAGTACAATTTTCATAATACAGATATTTTAACAAAAATAGACAATAACAGAGCTCACATATCTGTAAATGTGAAAAAAAGTTCATGACATTATCCACATTGGTGGGAGATAAAATGCTAAAGGGGCCAAAGAAAGAAACAAAAGCTTACTTTATCTAACTGCAGATGATCGAGAAGTTTCCGAAATCCATCACAGAACTCCATTAGATCCCAGTACACTGGATACTGAAGCTGAAACACACACCAAACAAAAAAATACTAGTAACATTGAGAGAAATTGCCAAACAGAAGAAAGGCGGGACGGCCCAGTAGACCAGTGGTTGGAGCGTAGACCTCACAGTGCAGAGGTACGGTTCATTTCCAGCTGTGGCCTCCCTGTGTGGAGTTTGCATGTCTGCCCGGGCCTGCGTGGGTTTTCACCGGGTACTCCGGTTTCCTCCCATATTCCAATAACAGGCATGGCAGGCTGATTGAACACTCAAAATTGTCCCCAGGTGTGAGTGTGAGCATGGATGGTTTTTCATCTGTGTGTGCCCTGCGATTGGCTGGCAACCAGTTCAGGGTGTCCCCCGCCTACTGCCCGAAAAAAGCTGGGATAGGCTCCAGCATCCCCCGCAACCCCTGTGAGGATAAGCGGATCAGAAAATGGATGGATGGAAGAAAGGCAATCTGAACCATGGGCTAGATTTTGGCATTTACATGACGGAGAAAGAACCATCCATCGTTCCAGGAATCATTCAGGTTCGAGCAGAGTATTGATATGTGCACCCACTGATGAGTGAAAGGGGAGAAAAAAAACTTCACTCCCAACAGGCACCTTCAGCATGAGTGATACATTTCTGTTGAATTCAATACAATAGACTCACAGATATCACCCTGTAGCCCCAGCCCGTCAAAGCCAACATCTGTTGGAAGAACACCTCTGCGGTTCCACTGACAGGCGGAAGGAACATGATGGGGCACCTGACGCTCTTCGGGCCGGCATCATACAAGGACCACACTTTGCTGTCATCATCATCAACAATAATCTAGAAAGAGAAAAATAGCAACAAGGAAATGAAAAAAATATATATATCCGGATACATGATGCTTCAATGTGTGAAACAATTCCATATTCATCTTCTACACCGCTTATCATCACGAGTAAATGAAAAATTATTTTGCAGACATGACAATCGCTGTTCAGCAAACATTCTTCATTCATGCCAGTGACCGGTAAAGCAGAGGAAATGAAACATGATTGCAGAATGTTTCTGTAACTCTTAGTACTGATGACAACACATAGTATGTTAAACGCATTTTGAAGCATTAGTCTTAATTATAATAACAATGTTTGACTTGTATTTATTACTGTGTACTTCAAGTGGAATTAAACTCCAAATTTGGTCTATTAAAGTCACATAATGAGCATTATTACTCCATCAATATATCAATGCGATGATGATCACACGAACAGCAATAATCTACATAATGACCCAAAGAGTTTTTGTTCGACATGGTCCGCGTACAACAGTACAGTCATACCTCGGTTTTCGACCATAATCCGTTCCAGAAGGCTGTTCGAAAACTGATTTGTTCGAAAACCGAAACCATGTTTCCCATTGTAAACAACCTTTTTTAAAGCTTTTTTTTTTTTTAACTATTTTACACCATAAACTGTATACACGTAATAAGAGAGTAGGTAATATGTAAAATACTGTCCAAACAAACTGGTAAAAATAAAGCATACATTTTTTATCACGTCCGCTCACATTGGACGCTTTTTTTTTTTTAAATCTTCATTGAACACGTCTGCTCACAATGGAACGTGACACGAGGAAGCGTCACTTCCTCATGTAAGGAAGGTGAGAGGAGTTGAGTGGTGCATTCAAGTGCGCTCAGTTTGGTCAAGAACCGATTTTCGGTCGTAATCCGAGGGATAAAAAAGGCACAATTTTTAAAATAATCGTTCAGTTCGTCGATCATCTAAAAAAATTCAACTATGTTCAGCATTCTAGAAGTACGTTACAAGCCGTTACCCTCAAAATACTGGCATTTCCCCATTGTTGTCACTCGTTCAGTTCACACTAGAAGACAGCAAGTTTCACCCTCCAATCTCATGAGCAAGATTGGAGGGTGAGCTAGATCACTGCGATACAACACTCAAAGGTTCTGGCCGATCGATTGCCCGCGCAGCACTGGGTCTTTCTGACCACTATTTCATTACTATTTAATTCCTACATACAGACAGTAACTCAAATGTGTAAAACCGGTTGTTAAGTCTGTGAAGAAATGGACCGATGAAGCAAAGCTAGCTCTACAAGAATGCTTAGACTGCACTGATTGGGGCGTCTTTGAAACTTCAACGGGCACACTGGATGAATACACAGCAGTGTTGTGTCCAAAGACCGGCAACCCGAGGCCAAGGCCAAGGCCAAGGACTTGCCTCCGAGGCCAAGGCCAAGGCCAAGGACTTGGAAAATTTTCCGAGGCAAGGCCAAGGCCAAGGACTTGAGAAATTTTCCGAGGCCAAGGCCAAGGACCAAGGACTTGCTTCCG